CTTTGCTAACACCAGGCTTTCTTACACCTGCTGCAAAGCTGGACTGTCAGAACCACTGTGTTTCACCTCACCCATGGCACTCATAGCACCTAAGATTGGGCACAACTTTGTCATGGCTTTGGCACTGATCCTGACATAGGAATGGGATTTGCCCCACCTCTACAAAGGAGACATCTCCAGCTAGCATAGTTGCCCAAGGGCTGGCAACTATGGTAAGCACTGCAGAGAAGCAATCCTTTCTAAGGTGGCATTCATGTCTTGTTAAAGTAGGTGTCTGAAATAGGTCAACTGAGTCAGTCTGAGAAGTACCAATTGCTCTCCATTGCCTACTAAGGGATTGTAGGTATCTAGTTCAAATGCAGATGTATGGTTATATGAGATTAATACCATCCCTGTTGACCTTTGGCAAGTCTCTTGCTACTTTAGTTTCATCTGCAGGCCAGCTATAATGATGTCTGCCTTATTTTGATACCTCTTCTCCAAGAACAATTAAAGGTAAAAACTGAGTTTTGATTATTAATATTATTGTCCTTTAAAAATAGTAAAGGACTCTCTCACTTCATGGGTTTTATTGTTTGTTTTGTTTTAGCTACATTTATTTTAGCTCTTTAATTTTCTGTGCACGTTTTCAGGGAATTTATTTATTTATCTATTTATCTTTCTATCTATAGGTCTAAAGAAGAGAAAGAGAACGAGAATTCTGCTCAACCAAAGAGACTCACAACTCCTATCGGCCTTCCCATCCTGCTCCTGTGCTTCTTTCCACTCATTCATCCTAGATCTCCCTTTTTCGTCTTTAATCCCTTCCCACTGGCTATCCAATTTAGCTAGACCAGATTCCCCCCAACCAGCCTTCTCAAAGCTTGTTCCCATTCTCTTGTTGGCACAGCAATGAGAAAACAAAAGAAATATAATTGCTACTTCCAATGGCTGTGTTTGGATGTGAATGCGGCAGGGGAGGGACTCTGACTGTGTGGGAATCCCTGTTGACTCAGTTGCTTTCCTCAGCACAGCTGCATGGAAAAGAGTGAAGTCCTTCTAGGTTTAAGTCACAAAGCATTGCTGAGCCAGCTACTTATAAAGGGATGAGAGTTTTGCAATCACAGGCAGATTTCCCACAGATACAAAGGTACATCCCCAGTGCAAGACCACCAAACTGACAAATTTTGAATCTGTGTCACACTGTCTGGGAGGTAAATTTCCTCAGAGGAAAGACCACCAGATCTTTTTAATGTAGATGAAAATACTCATTTTTACAGTGTTCTTGGAAATGGATGAATCCATCTGCGCTGTTTTTTCCTTCTCAATGTCCCTCCACATCAAGGTAAAACTCTAGAGGCAGCTGAGGAAATTCTGACATGCTTAACAGGACTATCTCCTGTAACTTCTGTAGTAGTCAGGCTATTCACACTGCTATTCACAGCTAATAAAACAGTGCATAGCATAATTACCCACAAATTTCATTCAGCTCCAAAGCTCAGATGACTTGCTACCCCTCCTTCCCAATGGAAAAATTCTGCTCTCACAGAGAGATTTTACAGTCAACTACACCAAACTTTAAATAAACAAGGTCAAAAAGTTGCCCATATTGGGTCTTTGCCTGATTTATTGTTGGGTCTGATTCAGTAGATATGAGTGATGTGAGTAGGTATGAGTGAGCTGAAATGCTGAGTCCACACAACCCATATTTTATATTTGGCATAAGTACATGAACTCAGGCGCATGCAACGTGTCATCCACAGAAGTCATCGTAATGTTCCTAAAAATTGTTAAAAAAACGTCAGTATGGCATGAAGGAAAGATATAAAAGCTATGGGGATATCTGCATATACTTTTAAGGAGCATTTGTTGTATGTGAGCCTGTGAAGCTGCTTCCTGTATTCTGATGCACCATCCTTGTTCATTTTCTGTTCAATTTACACTCTGTGTGACATTGGCCATTTTTCTCAAACAGCATTGCAGGGCTGGTTATGATGCATCTCTATACCTCTGCTTGTCCAGTCTATACCTAAAGACACCAAAAGATGAGGAGTCACAGCTTCCCCTCACAACCTCTTTCAGTATTTCACCATCCCCATTATTTATCTAATCTCAACATTCCTTGTTGCTGTTTAAACCCATCCTAACTTTCCCACCATGGACATGGAAACCAGACAGCTCCCTGCCATTATGCATCAAACTTACAGTAAACTAAAGGCTGTTATCATCCCCTCCACTTCCCAGTACTCTTTTCTTGTTATTAAATCATGCTGATATTCAGGTGTTTTTTTCCAAATATAGGTTTTATGAACCACTGACCATTGTCTCCTGAATTCCCTATGAATGGTCTACATCTGTTGCAAAGCCCAGTCTCCAAAATCAGACATATCTTATAGTTGAGGACACCTCTTGGCTGTGCAGGGTAAATGACAGATGGAGCGTGTCAGGCTTCTCCATGTCTGTCACAGCATGTCACCATGTCAGGCTCATAACTGCAGATATCTCAACATGGTCTGGTTGACTCTTACATGTCTTTCAAGGCTGAGTGGTAGAAATCAAGCATAACCAAGGATATCATAGCCACCCTGACAAGAGAAACAAGACAAACCATTCAGGAGGGAATGAAGAAGGGCAGGCAGAGTACACTCTGAACCGCTAGCATCATGAGGCTAAGTGGCCCCAACGTGGGATTTATCATTAAATGCTTGGAAGACATCAATTTTTGCTTCACAGTATAGAATCATAAAATCATTTGAGTTGAAGGAACCTTTAACTGTCACCTTAGTCCAATTCCCCTGCAATGAACAGGAGCGCCTACAGCTGGATCAAATTGCTCAGAGCCTGGTCCAGCCTGACCTTGAATGTTTCCAAGGATGGGGCATCCATCACAACTCTGGGCAACCAGAGGATGGTGTGTAGAATGAGTGCACTGCACAGAGGATACTCCTCAGATTTCTCCTGGGCGCTGATAATCCCCACCCAATGGAACCAGTCACACTCCTGTATCGGGATCATAAGTCACAGATAGTGAAATTTGACAGGTGGTTCTGCTAGGGCATTCACGTCCTTGGTGTGGCTACATTTATCAGTCTGCAATAAGCTTCAAGCCTCTCCTACATCATGCTCTCAAACCACAACGTATGGCATATCTCTATTTCTGCTTATATCGCACTCCCAAATTGCCTTTCACACTCTTCCTGAATTGCACACAAAACCTTTGCCTTAGAGCAAAGCAGTCTCAAGGAATGGGGAACTAGAGCAGGGTCTGAGGCTGCAGGTCAGCCCACCTCTGCCAATCTGCACAGCAAGATGTTGTGTCCTGCATTCCGAGGTTAGCGAGGCACATCAGCGGAAGCAGCTTTTCCCAAAACACCTGCTGCTCACCCAAACTCCCCTGCCTCACCTCAGCATACATATAAATCATCGCAAATATGTCAGAAGACCAGGAATGCATCATGGAAACCTTTCCCCTGTAACAGTAGCTGAGTGTAACATTCGCAAGTGTGAAGAGCTCATGTTTGTGCAATAACGCTTCTGTACACCGTGTTCCACCTGGGCCACGGGAAGAGGAGTTCACCTTTTTGCAGCATCAGAATTAGGCACAGCCACACTCTCCTGACATGAAGGAGATGAGGGAGGGAATGGAGAGCTGAAGTCTCCAATTTACTGCTAGCTGAAGCAGTAAGTTGAAGTGACAAAATTCAGATTTCCACCCACTTTCTTCTAAATCTGACATTGTGATGCTATCATTTTCCACAATTTATCTGAGGAAAAACTACTTTTAGGTATAGCAGCTGAGTCTACTCCATAAAATTCAAATTCAAGAAATCAAGTAGTTTTACTGCTCAGTGTGCCAGGCAGCAGTGCAGGCAGTTCAGAGAGGGTACTAGTCAGAGTGACTTCAGTGGCCAGGATATGGTCAAGGCTGGTGCAACAACCAGCCTGCCGGAGGGAACACAGAGTCACTGTCAGATTGTCAGTAAAACACTCAGACATTATCTCAAATTTCCTTTGTTAAATGGGAAATCCAGCGTTACTACAATAGACTATAAATATGGGATAATCTCTACTTAAGGAAGAGATAGAAACATCTCTATTCTCTACTTAGGCGGACACAGGCAATGCTTTTATTAGATCAACTGTCTTAAGTATAGCTATTACTTGGTGCATGGCAAAAACAGAGGATGCACCAAGCAGCAAACAAGGCTGAGCATTTGCCAATCATTCGTGAACAATTTGAGACTTATGGATTGTTTTTAAACTACCAAAATTCACTGGCAGAGTGATGGCAAGTTCATGATATTAACCAAGTTAATCACTCCATGCAAAGTGGAAGATGAGACACTGGAAAGAAACAATCCCAAAATACTAAATAACCTGGTGAATGGAGGAGCACTCAAGACCCATAAGAAAGCAGAGGAAACAACAACCACAGCTAGTGGATGAAGGCACATTGTTTCCCCCACGATTTCATGTATCTCCCAAAGGAAGCTTTTCCATCACATCTGTGCCACTAATTTGAGTCAAATTTACAGAATATTGGAATGCCAGGACTCCACTGATACTACCCTTGCTAAAGGCTGTCTGAAACACTCACCCATCCTTGGCAGGAGAATTCTGTAAAGGAATAACTGGCAGTTCTGTTCTCCACTTGGCACTTATCCTGCATATGATGCAGTAGGATGGGCTTTTAAGACAAATATGTTGCCCAGGTTGAAAAAGCATAATAATCAGAACTAGGGATAAGCTTACAGCTTTTGCAAAAGAAAGCCTAAGCAAAGATCACATGATTTTTGTAGCAGAAATCAGAATTTACATTTTGTTTAAATAATACCACATGCAGTGGGATCCCAACATAAGTAGGGCCTCCAGATGCTCAGAAAATAAATTATAATACTTAAAATGTTTGCTTATTTCAATAAAGCTAATAATGTTACTAATTACACTGCTATTAACACTTCTACTGATTATTCATAGCAATAAGAGTAAAGTAGTAATGGGTGCAGCGTAACTATAACTACCTTTTCAAAATGGAGATCCCTGGAACCTCTTGCATGTTGAGCAGAAATACAGGCAACAGTCCATCTCTAAAGCTTTCATCTCTATTTGCTGAACAAATCAATGGTCGTCTGTAAAGGAACTGTTCACTTGCTAGCAGGTCAACAGAAAGGTTGATAAACATCAGCACACTGAGAATTAATTTATTTGTAGTAGTGCCAAAGGACAGTATTTGGATAAACAGCTTTAAACTTGTCCTCATACCACCCATTTTCCTAAAAGAATCAGAATGAAAAATCAGAATGGTCTTCTTTGGTATCCAAAAGTAGGTGCTTTTAAGGGTTGAAAAATCTTTATTGCCCTAGATAGTCCAAAAGCAAGAAAAAGTCGACACTGAGATGGGCCCAGAGCAAATCCTCAGACAGGAATAACTCCAGTATTAGGGAAGTTCAAAGTCTGGTTCATATAGATATTTCACAGAAGAGCTTCCTCTGATCTGAGGACTGCTGCAGCCTGGCAAGCAGCGACACCCAGGTTACAACGAAGAAACTGGGAACTTTGCCAGGAATGAGAACTCAATGGCTAAACCCCAAGGACGGTTCCTGCATGCTCTTCGTTCATGGCCACCAGCCCCCAGGATGTTGTGGGGGTCCCCAAGTAGGAGAGAAGAGTGCTGGTCCTGGGAGTACCCCTACCTGCTGTGCACATGCCAGCACAGCCCATCTCACGGCATGGGAAGAGGCCATCCAGCTGCTGACCTACCTGTCCATAGACATGTCTTCTGCTGGATTCTACTGGATATTACAAGGGCATTAAACAAAATTGTGTCGTTAGAGAGTTAATGTTGTCTCTTTCAAGCTGGTAGGGCAGGCTGCTTTTTAAGTTGACACTCATGAGGATAAGTAGCTGCCACTGCAGAAACAAGCTCCGTGATGTGAAGATCTGCTCAGAGTTTCCTGTTGCTTGCAGCACCCATGTGCACTTCAGCCTCTGCGGTGCCTCCTTTTGTTGTTGTTGTTGTTGCTTCTTTGGAGGAGCATAGGAGATGTCATCACCAGCATATGAAAACAATCCTCACTTGATGTTACACCAGTAGCCTATTGACATGGAACAGCACAGTAAGCCTTTTTTTGCTGATAAATAAAAATGATTAACCTAACTGGTTGCTGTATATTCATCACTCTTGATACCTGGCAAACATTCTGGTTGTCAAGCAGGTAATATCTGATACATCTGTCCTGCTGTTTATCTCTTGGGCTACACTATCTCAAGCACCCAGTGCTCATCTCCGTTCTTTGCCTACTCTCTCCAGAGGTCTGATTGAAAGGTATGGTCATAATGATATATATATATATATATTTATTTTTACACTCTGACAGAACTAAGTTAATTCTGGAGTTCTGAAAGCTTACAAAAGCTGCAGCTCATACCTACTACCATTATTAATTCCAAACATTTGCTGCCTGCTATTATAACAAACGCTTGCTTAGGACTATATTCAGACTACCTAAAATAGCACTTTGCACTCCAGCTTTGGAACCAAAGCTCCAGGGAGCAGGAGCCATTCCATTTGAGTTGGCTGCTCCCAGAGCCTTAGGAGATAAATAGCCACAGTGTCCACGTTAAGCAATTTGTAAGCACTGGGTGGAAAACACAGCCCCTATGTCTCTTTTAGCTGGATAAAAAGCCAACTCTGCAGCCCTGGATAGCAAGCAGCTTGTTTGAGCTCTCCTGAGCACACCGTTTTGTAACTAGCACGTCAGCTAAGCTTTGTGAAACTCTCTAAGAGGCAGACAGGATACTGCCTGAAGGGCCACATTCAGATAAAGTGGAATTTCAGCTAATTTTGCATCTAGAATAAATAAAGACTGGCAGGAACTTACAAAGTCTTTTCAGAGCAGTTCAGAGAGATTACTAAGGGTGCTGAGTGCCATCTTGCTGTTATTGGCACAGATTCAGAAGGTAAAACAGCTTTCACGTGATTGTGGCCATTTCTGATCAATTAAACTATGTCCTGTAAGACTAAAAATAAATGTGCCTACGAGTCCAGTTTTCAGCTTTTGCAATCAGTGAAGACAAAAACATGATTCTTCACCCTCCCACCGAGATTTAATGAAATTGCTTTTGGAAGTGTTAAAAACAGCAATTGCAATATAAATCATAAAGAAGAGATTGTTTTATACTCCAAACTACTTTAGTGACCACTGGAAAGAATACATGCCAAAACTTCCAGTGCTTGGGATGTGACAGCATCCCAGAAGAGATGCAATGTTAGTGTGTATGAAGGGAATTCCTGTGCAGCAGTGGTCACCAAAGACAAAACTGCATTTCACATAAGGTCAGTAAAGTGCCCTTAGGTGTTTTAACTAACTTTTCCTGCCAGGTATCAGAGTCCAAAATAGTTTTATTTACAACTAGTCAAATCACATGAAAAGATCTGCTGTAGCAGAGTTGTTGTTCTTTTGTGCATCTGCAAAAGAACAAGAGAAACTTCTTTCAATAAAGCACCATGTTAAGTTTCCACTCAACCAATAAACAGTCATGAGACCTACATGAAATTTACCAGACTGCTTTTTCTTGGGTTGGGAATATTTTCTTTCTTTCTGGCTTTCCTTCTACAAGCACTTACAGGGGAATGGATGACATGTGTTTAGGATCTACTGTTAGTATCATCTATGTGGGTTCCTCTGCAGTTTAGCTAACAGAAACCTGATAACTTCAGAAGCACCTGTCTTCATTGCACAGCTCAGAAATCCCCACAAATTTCCTGTCCAAACAAGCAAAACCCCACGGCCCAGTGCATTAGAGACATTAGTGTAGCTACTGACAGAATGGGGAGATGGGACCTCAACCTATGTAAAGTACCAGGCATTTCCAGCTGTTATAGAGACCCTACAAAGTGTCACTATCCTGGGATAATCAGTTTTCTGAGTTGGACTGCGTGATCCTTATGAAATCCTTCCAACTACGGATAATGTATAATTCTATAATCCCCTCAAAATCATCTCACAAGATACTAAAGATGGAAAGAAAGAAGAGCCAATACTTTCAGACTGACAGACTGTCAGTTTTGCCAGTCAACGAGTAGTGGTGCTGCAAGGTAGGCAGAACTAGAGTAGACAGGAGACTGGGACCCACTGGAGACATGGCCTCCACTTGCTCCTCACAATGGAGAGGCTCCAGAGGGTGGGGTGTGAGGAATAGTGCTATTCTTGGTTAGGTTTTTCATTTCAAAAGCAGCAAATCTAACTCTATATGATGCTTCACTGCTCATACAGCCACTGCCTCTGACACAGTGGAGACTGGTTTGCGCAAGCAGAAAAATAGCCAGATGTTCATCCTTTTGGCTGATTTCATGCCAACAGTTGTTCTGCAGACTTTACAAACACCACACGATACCAGGTTTGTGGGTCCTTGTTTAGAGCTCACCCCATTGGGTTCAGAACACAAGAAATCCAGGAAACCTGATCAGAATTAGAACCCACGTGTGGTGAGAAACCCAGCTGGATCTTCAATTTTACCTACTAGTTTTGACACTTTTCAAAGTCTTGTCCTGTCCTTTGCAAGGCTTTACCAAATGTTCCATGTCTTGACGGGTGGAATGAGCAAGAGAATTAGCAACATAAACTGAAAGTGTGCAAATAGGAGGGACTGGAAGTCAAGCAATGACAGAAAAGCCTGAGACTGGAGAAGGAGCCCCAGAGAGCCTCTTGCTTCCCATGACTGAAGGTGAAGTCCATGGTGGAGGGAGAGGCAAGTAATGCCATGACAAGGAGCTATGTTGAGCACAAGAACTGAGGCTAATGAGGCAGATTCATACCAGAGCAGGACAATGACATTACTCAAGCAGCCCCAGAGAGAGACCAATCCATTGATCTAATAATGAGAAATGACCAGGAGTATAAATGAAGAGGGAGAAAGATGAAAGAAAATGATAGATCCTCCTGGAAGACATGTTAAGGCACATGAGGGACAAGCACGTGATCTGAAACAGCCACCATGGCTTCACCAAGGGGAAAGTTGTCCCTGACAACTGGTGGTTGTCTTGTCAATAGTGGTCTTCTATAACGGAGCGACAGCATCAGTGGACAAAGGGAATGCAACTGATGTCATCTACCTGGACTTCTGCAAGGCCTTTGATGCTGTCTCCCCCCCCCCCCCCCCCCCCATCCTTATCTTTAAGTTGGAGAGGCATGGATTTGAAGGGTGAACTATTTGGTGGATAAAGAATTGGTTAGAAGGTCACAGCCAGAGGATTGTGGTCAATGGCTCTATGTACAGGAGGAGGCCAGTGATGAGCGGTGTCCTCCAGGTGCCTGTCTTGGGACTGGTACTCTTTAACATCTTTACTGATTGCACAGATGATGGGATCAAGTGTGCCCTCAGCAATTTTGCTGCTGGCAACAAGCTGAGCAGTGTGGTTGATACAGAAGAAGGATGGGATGCCGTCCAGAGAGACCATGACAAACTTCAAAGCTGGGCCCATGTGAACTTAATGAGGTTCAACAAAGCAAAGTGCAAGGTTTTGCACTTGGGTCAGAGTGATCCCAGATATGTATACAGGCTGGGAGAAGAAGTCCTTCAGCCCAGCTGAGAACTGGGGACTTAAAATGTTCTGGTAGATAAAAAACTTAACATGAGCCAACAGTGCGTGCTTGCAGCCCCAGTGCCCATCAGTATCCTGGGCTGCATCAGAAGAGGGGTGGCCAGGTGGAAGAGGGAGGGGATTGTCCCTCTCTACCCTGCCCTCATGAGGCACCCTCTGGAGTATTGCATCCAGGTCTGAGGCCCCCAACACACAGGAAAGATGGTGCTTTTGGAGAGGGTCCGGAGGAGAGCCATGAAGATGATCACAGGGCTGGAGCACCTCTTCTGCTAAGACAGGCTGAAGGAACTAGGCTTATTCAGTCTGGAGAAGAGAATGTTGTGAGGAGATCTCATTATCTTCCAATACTTAAAGAGAGATTAGAGATGGGAGGGAAATCAATTTTGTATGTGGGTAGATAGCAATAGGACAAGATTGAATGGTTTTAAACTGAAGGAGGGAAGATTTAGATGTTGGGGGAAGTTTTTCACTGAGTTGGTGGCAAAGTGCTGGAACAGGCTACCCAGAGAGGTTGTGGATGGACGTGCTCAA